ATACGAATACGATCCTGTGACACTAAAAAAGATTAAGGGTATAGGTTGGTATATGGTTAATCGAATTACTTGTAGTGCCGACAGTATTTCAAGACTTACTAATCCTCAAATTCGATATATTATAGATTATGTGACTTCGAAAACCGTTAACAATGTTAATGATCAAGATCGTGGGACTGAAGTTTCTGAACATATCTCGGGAAGCAATAATGAAAAATCAGACAAAAAAGAAAATAATCTAGATTCGGAAAATAAGATAAATGAGGATGTCTCACACAGTGAGGATGCTATTTCATCTAAATCTTTACCAGAAACAGAATCAAGCGTTCCAACCACTCCCTCTATCTCATCATCTCATCATCTCATACCTCTAGCCACGAATTGACTGCCTCCGGCAATTCAGAAATGATTCCAGAGAAAGAGACAGAGTCTCGAGTTTCCAACTCATCAACCGAGATACAGGCAAGTATGTTTGATGAGGACGTTAATGATAATGAGGAATCTTCTGATAATAGTGACGATGATGAGGATTCCTTCAATAACAATGAAGATGGAGGATTCTGTGGATTTTCTGACGATGATGATGAAGGTTATTATTATGATTTAAATACCGGTGAAACTTATACAAAATTAGATCGATCAATCTGTGCATATTAACGATTTTCATCACATATTGCTCGTATGACCTAATTTATTTATATTAAATATTTTTTCCGATAATTAGCTACTAACCCGTAGGGCGACTCTCTGAGTCATATCAACCTTATTTTTAGCACCTTGTACTAGCTCCGTTAAACTTCATAATCAATCTCTCGCTAATTAAACTGAATTAACGTCCATTCTTAGTCTGTGGAATGATTTGCATGTTTATCTTCGATTACGCAATGCAACGTCGAAAACTCATGAATAAGTGCTATTAATAAATACCTGATTACGTTTACTGTCAAGTTAAAAAACCATTCTCGCATCTTCTCCACTTTACGTGGAATAAATGATGATCGAAACGTAACGCCTATAAAAGATGCAATTTTTTTCCGCTGTCAACCCTTTAACAAAAACAAACGCATCGAACTTATCTTAAATCTAGATATCCGCACGTCCCCACAATCAATTTTCTAATCGGAATTTCTTTGCATAAATGCATCCATTCAACGTTTCGGATATTACCCCTTTTATGGTTCTATCCACATCTTTGTTTTTCTTCCTTACGACGATTTTTCCCGAAAATGCTCCTCTATGTACTTCTTTTTTGTGTGATATCAGACAAAAAATCGTCGATGATACAAACTCTCGTGAAACCAAGATCAACTCTACTATCGCTAAACAAATCGGCAAGATCAGAACCGAAATTGATAATGATCTTAATTCTCGTGATGCGAACTACATGATAGAAGCACGTAGAATTTTTGATAGGATAATTACGAGACTTGAAACTTACCACGACAATTTTAATTGAATTGCAACTGAATTTAGTTCAATTAATCGAAATCAATCAACGACACTCCCTTGTCCAGATTGTTAATAGGAGAGGATCTGACCAGCAAAGCGAGACTTCATCAAATTCCTCGGATTTCAAGTCAAAGATTTGCGAATATCATTTCTGTAATCCGGGAACAATTTACAAACATCTTTAATAGGATTAAGGGCGCCCATAATTATTCTTTAGATCAGATGTGTAATGTTGTATCAGTTGATGTTCTTAGACTTGGGTTGGGAGTAATTGGGAAAGATACAATAAAGGGTTTTTATCATGGGGAAAATATAAAGAGCGAAAATTTAGAAAAAATAGGTGCTTGGGTAGATCAAACTTATTTACATACTGCGTAGCGGGAAAGGAACTGCCAATATATGGGTTAGGGCTCGGCAGGCTCGGCAGGCTTAACAAGCAGGCATATTTTTGTCTTTCCTCCCTTGAAACATCCTGCTACTCTATTATTTTTTTACGTATTATTTTACAAAGATATAATAAAGAAATTTGCTTTGAATTTTTTAAACATGTTCTCAAAAGAGAGAGCAAAGTATCATACATTTCGCTTGCAATCCTTAATAAATTTAGTTTTCATTGATTTATTTAACTTTGTAGATGTAATAATACAAAGACTTGATTTAGGTGTAAACAAACTGAGTATTAAAAATAAAGTTTCATTCTAATGCCGTATTTGCATATTCCACCCACAACTTGCCTAAGAGAAGTAGTGAATTTGCAAGACGATCGCGTTTATCCATACTATATTCCGTGTTATTGAGAACTTTCTTACAGGTTTCATGCGTAATAGAAGATATTTCTGATCGTGAAAGTTTCCAGGCCACTTTTATTCTTTTTACCTCTTCTTCTGACCCCTTATTAGTCTTGTTTGTTACGACTTCATGAATTAAATCCAAAGCAAACATGAAGCCATTAAAAAGATTAGAGAATATGTTATTGGAGAATATTTCTTTGCTTAATTGGGTTTTGGCCTCAGAAATGTAAATTTCGCCTAGTAAGGATAATAACTCTTTGCCGTTAGGTTCTGCAATAAGTTTCTGGACTTCTAGAGAAAGGCTTTGCTTAAACGAAGGATTGATTTGCTCCGGGAATTGAGAAAGTTTGTCTTGCAGATGACTACTAATGTTTCGAACACGAATGTTATGACGACGTTCTTTCTGCTTAACAGAGGTTTCATGTTCTAATTCGGGTGAACTATTGCTATCAAATGAATGTATCCAGAGACCAATTTCCAGGTCACCGATGTAGGGTTTCCAAAGTTCTCCTCCTACATAGCAGTTGAACGATGCTTTATTTGCAAAGGCTAAAATCAATTCAAATTAGATAAATCGAGAGAAATGAAAGTTATTAAATACAAAAAAGATTGAGACCTACCGCCGCTGACTGTTCCGTGGTTATCGTAAAGTACGCGACTGTTCTCATCAGAGAGAATTTGATATGCCTTCGAAAGTTTAGTCCACTGTAGTTAGAACATTAAGTTAGTATAGTATATGAATTGTAGTTAAAGAAATAAAATCTGATGCTCACCTGTTCGGTTTCAACACCGCCATTCTTATCAGGGTGATATCTCAGAGCAAGTTTCTTGTAACTTGATTTAATCTCAGTTTCAGTAGCGCTGGGTGTCAATTGGAGAACCGCATACAAGTCCGTTTCTTTTGATTTATAACAATGACGGGATAAGCATTTTTACATGGGGTCTACCTTAACAAGGTAGGTAACACTTACCACGAGAATGTTCAGGTTGTTTGGTTTCTTTCGATTTGCTTAACCACTCTTCTATTATCCTTTTTTTATTTTTCTTAAAGTCATCTTCACTGATTCCGCCAGACTCGAATTGTCGTTTGTTCGCTGTTAATTTTGAATCGAGATCCATTTTTAGTGACAATTTTCTGAGTTTGTACCTTTATATATGTGATCAGTAGAGCCAAGTTTGTTTGGCTTTGTTTTAAACTTGTTTTAAAGTGGTTTATTCGTACAACATGACACTATAAAAGAAAAAAATAAAAAGAAATCTTTTAAGGTAATCTATGGATACTTGAAAACAATACGCAAGTGATGGAGAATTATGCAGATTGGTTTAAACTTGTTTTCAAGTGGTTTATTCGTATAAAATGACACTACAAAAGAAAAAAAACAAAAAGAAATCTTTTAAGGTAATCTATGGATACTTGAAAAAAATACGCAAGTGATGGGGAATTACGGTCAACTCTCGATAAATGCAACTTTGATCTAACGCCAATTAGTTATATGAAATGCATTGATTAGCGCTATTAATTCCATAATAGGAGTTGCAATTAGCATGATCCGACAA